GCTTCCATAAAACGACTTATTAGTCCAACTATAAAAAGAATATTAGGCCTTGTAAATGTCATCTATCTCAAACTTCCCTTAAGATTTTTAAAGAGAGTGGGATCTACTTTTTTCCTATTATAAAACTTTGATAACTTGACTCCACATTCTACAGGTGTGTTAATAGGATTGCAATTAAGCATTTTGAATTCTTCTAAGACATTTCTTGCATAGACTTTTTGAGAAATAAAAATATCATTTTCCATTTGTTTCACCTCAAGACCCAAATAATAAGACATGAGCCCAATATCAGTCATTTTAAATTCAAGTAACATTTTGTTCTTGAATTCTTCAAACAAACTTGGATTGTTGCTCGTGAAGATGAGATCATCCACATATAGACACACAAATAGAATATCACCATTAGGATGATACTTCACATAAAGAGTATATTCATGAAGGCAATGAACAAATCCATTATCTTCAAAATACTTGTTTATATGGCTATTCCATGCTCTTGGCGCTTACTTTAGCCCATATAAAGCTTTCTTCAATTTCAACACTTTATCTTCATACCCTTCAACTATGAAACCCAATTGTTGTTCTACATAAACCTCTTCATTAAGATAGCCATTGAGAAATGTTGATTTTACATCAAGTTGAAAAATTTTCCACTTCATTTGAGCTGAAATAGCTAAGAGCAAGCGAATAGTCTCCATGCGAACAACTGGTGCAAAAATCTCATCTTAATCAATCGCATGTTTTTTCTTGTATCCTTTAGCCACAAGTCTTGTCTTGTACCTTTTCACATTTCTTTGAGAATCTTTTTTGGCTTTATAGACCCATTTAACACCAATAGCTTTATGTCCCTTAGGAAGAGTGGAAAACTCTCATGTGTTGTTATTATCTATGGATTTGATATCTTCCTCCATGGCTTTTCTCCATCTTACATTTTTATGGTTTCATCAAAATTCATTGGTTCAAACTCAAAATATTAAAGGGTAACGAATTCCATCAGATTCACAAAAATCATAAAATTCTTTGGAAGTAAATTCATCTCCTCTATCTATTCTCAAAGAATTTATTCCACAACGTCAATTTTTTTCAACAAGAATTTTGAAATTTTTAAAAGCAACAAAAGGATCTAATTTTTGCTTTAAAAAATATACCCAAGTCTTCCTATTAAAATCATCAATAATAATAGAAAGTATTTATTTTTACCAAATGAGAGTGGATTGATTAGCCCACACACATCAGCATGCATAAGTTGTAGTAGCTTGGTTGTTCTTGTAGTAGTTTCTTTTGGAAAACTCCTTCTTGAATGCTTTCCAAGTAGACGTGTTTCACATAATTGATTATGATGGTTGATTAATGACATCCATTTCACCATTTTTTCTTCGCCCATTGCCTTGAGTGCGCCAAAGTTCAAATGGCCAAATCTCATATGCCAACATCATGCTTCATCTTTCACACTAGCCTTAAAACATCTTGCTTCAATAGTTTTGAGATTCAAGATAAACATTTTATTCTTTTACATGTGTATCTTAACAATAAAAATTAACACTTTGATCAATAAGCTAAAGACAATAATCTTTCATGTGAATTTCATATCCATTTTTAAGAAGTTGGTCCAAACTCAAAATATTACTTATTAATTTTGGCACATAGTAAACATTAGTAATAAGTACATGCCCACTATTTTTTGAAGAGATTAGAATTGTACTTTTCCCTTGAATTTGAACTTTTGAAGAGTCTCCACAAAAAAACATTACCGTTAATCTTCTCATAAAGCTTCACAAATTTTCTTTATTACCGCACATGTGATTGCTTGCTCCATTATCCAAGTACCATGAATTATGTGTATAAGTATCTCCCTATTTGCATGTTAGCAACAAAGTTGTTTCTTCCTCATCTTGTTTATCATTGACAAAATTGGCTTGTTCCTCCTTCTCGTTTAAAATGTTACGACATTCTCAAGCATAATGCACATATTTATGACATTTATAATATTCAGTATTTGATTTGTTAGAATTTCTATAGTTACCTCTTCCTCTTCCTCTTCCTCTTCCACGACCTCTATTTGATGGTTGACTTTTATCTTTATTATCAACGTCATCTTGAGTTTCATTTTTTTTAAATACTTGACCACGACCACGACCTCTACCTCTTCCTCGTCTTTTTTGCTTTCCACCATCATTCAAAGATGCCTTTGATTTAAGAACTTGTTCTAAAGACTCTTCTTGTCTTTTTTTTATTTATTTTTTCTTCATGAGTTTATAGAGATCTTTATAATTGTTTAAATTTCAAAATATCTAGATCCTTTGGTTTTTTAATGACATAAACCACATAGTCGAATTTTGGTGGCAACAATCGAAGGATTTTTTGCACCACACGAACATCTTCCATCATCTCACCAAATCTCCTCATTTGACTTACTATAGACTTTACCCTTGTGTAAAAATTTGAAATGGATTCAACATCCTTCATTTGTAAAACTTTAAACTCGCATCATAAAGTTTGGAGTCGTAGTACCTTCTTCACCTTATCAACTCCTTAGAGGAAATTCTTCAAAATCTCCTAAGCTTGCTTTGCGTCGGTAGCATCGGCCACGTTCAGAAACATAGATTCATCTAAGCTTGTTGATCCTTCTTCTTTGTTCTTACAAAAGCATCCTTCTCATTTTGAGTTAAGGATCGTTCATCTTTGGGTGGAATAAAGCATATTTCTACAATATCCCACACATCTTGTGAGCCAAGTATGACTTTCATATAAAGACACCAACTCTCATAGTTTTCTTTTGTAGGACGAAAAAATTGGAAAGAAAATAGATTATTGCTAGCTATCTCTAGAATTTTAACAAGAAATCAAGGTCTGATACCACTTTGTTGGAGATAGGAGGAAGATGTTAGAGAGACTAATGAGAAGACTCAAGATTTTCTATTGTGGTTCTTATAAAAAAAAATCCAAGTGCATGCCTATTTATAGATACTATTACAACTACTAGAATTAATTATAACCGCCAACAAACATAATAAATCTAATTTATGACTCACAACTTCTACCAAACCAAAGGATTTATAGAGATTCTAATTTATGAAGTTTAACTACTAACAAACTAATTAATTATATTCTAATTTACAAATTAATTTTTAATAGGAACCTCTCCGAAGTCATTCAGGCTGAATAAAGGCACTATGATTTCTACTTAGTAAGGTGTTTTTTGACAGAGGCAATGGTCAAATTTGATCTTATGCGCAATACACTGGTGGATGTCTGGAGACCTCTTGGTGGTGTTAACATCACAAATTTGGGAGTGCGTCGTCTTCTTTTTTCGATTTTTTCATGAGGTGGATATTCAAAGGATTATCAACAGGGGCCCTTGGACTCTTAATAACCATTTAGTTACTCATGGAATCTAGGAGGATGAGGATCCGATGACGGTTCTTATCAATATATGTCATTTTTTGGTCCAGGTTCACTTTTTGCCGGCAGGTTGTGTCTCGGAACAGATGGCAAAATAGTTTGGCAATTTCCTGGGTGGCTTTCTAGAGTATGATACTTGTCACGCCACCATAAACTCTTAGGGTATCCTGAGAATCCGAGTAGCTGTTGATGTGACGAAATCGTTATATCGGCGGAAGAAACTACACCTTTGTAATGGCACAACAACGTATGCTTTATTCCGATATGAGAGGTTGACGGTGTTTTGTTAACTATGCGGCCGACTGTGTCACTCAGAAAGTTTCTGCAAATTACTTTTACAACATCCCGTGGTGGCACTAAGGGCAAAATGAGATGACTCACTTCGGGTTGTCCCTCACCGGAATCTACCGTAGGTAAGTTGATGGTTACGTG